AGACTCACTGTTAATAATACCCATATATTCATTCATTCATTCATGCAAGAAATATTGAAATATTTAAGGTGTTGGTAACCCAATGGCAGCTGAGACAGACCAAGAACACGGTCCATGTGGGGCTAATCTCGCATGGGGAAGGTGGATGCTACACAAGCCCACACGTACGTGCTAGTCCTGAGAGAGCGAAGCGCCACGAGGAAGACCTGGTTGGAAGGTGTGACTGCCGGTGGTGCTGCTTTGGACAGGAAGGTCCAGCAGGCCGGCATCTGATCGCAGCCTTGAATGATGAGAGGGAGCTGGCCCACCGGAGACGAAGGGAACAGCACTCTAGGAAGAAGGATCAGCAGGTGCAAAAGCAGAATGAGCTTGGCAGAGCTCAAGAGCAGCGAGGAGGCCAGTGGGTCTGGGGCTTAGAGGGCAAAAGGGAGACAGGGAGGGGATGAGGTCAGGGGGACGAGGCAGCCCTGTAAGATTCGGCTTGTATTCTAGTAACAGTGAAAGTGCTGACTGGCATTGTAGAAAGTCCCCACTGACTGCAGAGTGGAGAATGGATGGGGGGTGGGGAGGGGGAGCTGTCCAGCCAGGGAGAGGCGGCTGCCCCAGGTCAGGTGAGATGATGACAGCTGCATAGTGGCAGGAAGTGCGTGATCAGACTCAGGATATATTTTGGAGGTAAGAGGATGGGACCTGCTGATGGATTTGAGGCGGGGAGTGGAGGGAGGCGAGGAACCCTGATGGACAACTCGATTTGTGGCTTGGGCATCAGGGTGAGTTGGGAGGCTCGTAATGAGATGGGGGAGCCCGGGAGCTATGTGCCGGAGTGCAGGGAGGGAAGTAGAAGTTCCTGTCTCAGGCGTGGGGGACAAGCAAGTGCGTGTCTCGGAAGATGACACCTGGGATGTGTGCCTTAGGTTTTGACTTTCCTGCCCCTCTTCCTGCCTTCCCAGGTATGAATACTTCTGCTGTGCAGAACTTTTCCCATCCAAGTATTTCCACTGTGTCTAGGCTCTGGGGTGTTAGCTGAGGAGTAGATAGTACCCAGCACACCCAATCTGCAAGCTGGGTTCTTTCTTTAATATTGATGCTGTAAGATTATTTGGGGGGCCGTGGAGGGACGACTACTGGTCATAGAAGTGGGACCTCATAGCAAGCCTAAGTTGTGAGTTGTGAAAGACACTTGAATCTACCCTCCTGTGCTTAGTTTTACTTCTGTAAAATGGGAAGGAAAATGCCTCCTATGCATAAGTGGTTATAAAAGGAATAGCAGATTTTTTTTTTTTTTTTTTTTTTAAAAAGGGAAAGAAAAAGCCCCCCTTGCCAAAAGGGTTTTAAAAGGAAAAACAGATTTTTTTTTTTTTTTTTTAAAAAGGGAAAGAAAAAGCCCCCCTTGCCAAAAGGGTTTTAAAAGGAAAAACAGATTTTTTTTTTTTTTTTTTAAAAAGGGAAAGAAAAAGCCCCCCTTGCCAAAAGGGTTTTAAAAGGAAAAACAGATTTTTTTTTTTTTTTTTTTTTTAGTGCAATGGGAAAGTATTTGGTAAAACACAAAAGGCTTTATAAAAGCACAATTGTACATGATTAAGAGTGAGTTTCTGCAGTAGTAAATTGAAGCTTAAAGATGTCATAAAGGATAGATCTATTAAACTCCACTGGCTACAGGGCTTGAAAAGAAACCGCATTCATTAAGCTGGTATTGAGTTGATCTGCGTAGACGAGGCTGGGAGAGTTCTTATCCCTTTGGATGCTTACAGCTGGGGGAGAGGAAATAGAAGGGAGACAAGCCTCCCTTCCTACAACTGATTCTTTGAAATGTGGGGGTGGGCTTGTTCTCTGCACCCACCTGTGGGTGTTGAGGTTACAAAATATTTGTGCATGAGGTTTAGCCTCTTAATTTGATTTCATTCGTGCCAGCCTTCCAATAGATTTGTTTTTCTTGCACAGATACTGAGAGGCTAGAGGTGGGGGCTGACTCAGTTGGTAAAAATCAGTTTGGGATTGAAAATATGCTGTTGAGGGAGGTGTGGATTCCAAAAGCTGTGGATCATGCCACTCCACGAAGAACCAAGTAAGGTCCTCCTTGGTCCACAAGGTCCTGCCATCTGCCCTATCTCCTCCTCACCCTTGTCTCCTCAGCTCTCCTTCTTGCTCACTCAAAGCCACATGGGCCTCCTCGAATGGGTTGCCCTTTGCACGTGCTGTTTCCTGTGCCTGGAAAGCTCTTCCCTCAAATACCCATACGGCTCCTACGTCACCTTCTTCAGGCCACTGCTCATTAGTCACCTCCTCAGTGAGGCCGTGTCTGGCCCCCTATCTAATAGAGTAGCCAGCCCACCCAACAATTCCTACCCCTCTTTGTTATGGGCTAAAGTATTAGTTTGTTTTTGTGTTGCTATAATAGAATACATTAGACTGGGTAATTTATAAAGAACGGAGGTTTATTTGGCTCATGATTCTGGGACAGCTGCATCTGATGTGGGCCTCAGGCTGCTTCTACACATGGCAGAAACCAGCAGGCAGCCATGGGGTGCAAGATCACATGTGAGAGAGAAATTGAGAGAGAGAGAGAAGGGCCAGGGTCCTTTCAAACAACCAGCTCTTGCAGGAACTAATAGAGTGAGAACTCACCCACTACTGCCTTCCCAGGGAGGGTATTAATCTATTCATGAGGGATCCGCCCCTATGACCCAAACGGCTCTGGACACTGGGGATCAGATTTTGACATGGGCTTTGGGGGGACAACATACCCAAACTCTATCAGCTAAATCGTGTCCCTCCCAACCCAAATTCACATGCTGATTGTGTAACTGTGTCCTAGTGCCTCAGAATGTGGCTTGGAATGTGGCCGTGTTTGAAGGTAAGGTCTTTACAGAGATAATTGTGGTAAAATGAGGTCGTATGGGTGGGCCTTAATCTAATATGATCAGTGTCCTTGTAAGAAGAGATTAGCCACACACACACAAAGATAAGTATGTGAAGTAATCATATGTTAATTAGCTTAACTTAGCCATTCTGCTATGGATACAAATTTCAGAACATCATGTTGTACTCCATAAATACATATAATTTTTGATCAATTAAAAATTTTCTCTCTCTCTTTTTTATTAATTTTAATGTCAATTGATAAGGAACAAATTTAACACAAAGATTAACATCCTTAATGAAAAAAGAGCTCTTAAAAACAGAATTAGAAAAATCTAAGCCGAAAGTTGGTGAAGGACATGAGCAGATGTCACACACCCTATAGAAACACTCATGTCTAACAACAAAAACCAAAACAACAAAAAAAGAATAAAAAGAAAAGAAAAAAAAAATACTCGTGGCTAATAAGTGCACTCTAAGATGTTGTTGCAGGGTCGGAGGGATGGGGGGCCAGAGCTAAGCCCCTCGGCCCCATCTCAGAGCCCCGGGGGCTTTTGGGTTCGGGGTTTGTTTTTTTTTTTGTCTTTTTTTCGTGTCCGGCAACAGATCGCAACCCTCAGTGTCACGCCCGTACCGGACCGGGACCGGCAACGGGATGGCAACCCTCGGTGTTGTGCCCGCATCTTGCTCAGCTAGTGAGTGGGAACCGGTCTGTATGTGGGATCCGAACCCTCAGCGGGAGCACCGCCACGCTTCACAAGCAGCGCACTGTAGCAGTGCACCACCGGGCCGGCCCAGGTTCGGGGGTTTTTGGTGCCAGCTCTGTGATCGGCCTAGTTGCAGATGGCAGTGGGTGGGGCCGGGTCCCTTAAAATTAAAAAAAAAAAATTAGGAATGAAACATAAATGCCCCATCTCTATTTTAAGATTGTACTGAGAGCCTAGTCAATGGAATAAAATGAGATAAAGAAATAAAATGCATACGTATCCCCCTACCACCCAGAAGAATGCCAGATTCTCCAATCCTTCTGTAGAAATGGCAGGTTACTGGTCATTTTGCTAGTATGTCATTTCAAAAAAGACAAATGTGTAGCGTAAAGAGGAGGAAGAAAGGAGGAGGAGGAGGAGGGAAGAGCTTAGGGCACTGATATACACAAAGGACAAGGCCGTGTGAACACACAGGGAGAGACGCCACCCTCAAGCCAAGGCGAGAGGCCTCAGAATGAAGCTGGTCTTGAACTGCCAGCCTCTATGCTCTGTGAGACGATACATTTCTGTTGCCTTAGCCTTGGCCGTCCAGTCCGTGGTACTTTGTTACGGCAGCCGGAGCAAACACACCCACTCTTCCTGCTTAATTTCTCTTTACAGCACTTTTTAACTCCTAAGCTCTACATCATGGGCTCATTTATTTATTCCTTGTCTGTCTGTTCTCCTAGAATCTCCTCTCCATGAGGGCAGGGACATCTGTCAGTCTTGTTCATAGCTGTGTCCCCAGCATCCGGCACAGGGACGGTGTTCACTCAGCGTTTGTTGAGTGAATAAGTGAGAGGAGATAAAGGCCTTCCCAGGGCTCCAGATTCCTCTGGGGTCGAGAGTCCACCTGATAAATGTGTGAGTGGTGGGAACTTTGTCCCTTTTCTCTTTTCCAAAACCAGCTGAGGCTGCCGAGAAGGATGGCTGTGCAGGTGGCCACTCTCACGTGCATTTTAAAGCTGCTCCTTTCAGCTTTCTAAGTGACTTTCTTGAGCTCACAGAATCCAAGGACCAGAGGAGAATGAACGAGCAGGCTCCTGGTGGCCCATTTTGCAGAGGGGAACATTGAGATGCTGAGAAATCCAGCATCCCCGCCTCTGTGGCTGGCACCTTGGAGCTGGAGCGGGTGTCTGGCGACACAGCCTTGTGATCTTTGACTCCATCTGGCTGCATCTGTTGCCCGGCAGCTCCTAAGAACTGCCTTTCTGGACCCTGAGTTGCCAAGGAACTACTAAATCCTGGCCAGCAGGGGCTGGGGTGTATTTTGACTTCCTGAGAAGGAGGGTGGGGCAGCCTCTCCTATCTTCTGAACTCCCTTCTCCTCTCCCCCGTGTGCTTATTCTGTCCACATCTCTCACTCCAGATCTCTCTCTCCTCTCTCTCCTCTAGTTTCACCCTCACTGTGCTGGAGGCAGAAGACCCTGGGATTTCTGAACGAGGCCCATGGATGCTGAAGTCCTCCCGGGTCTCCGACCCCATGCTCTCCCCACCCGGTTATTATGATGCCCTGCTCAACAGCAGCTTGGGTCCCCCAGGTCTGGACGGCACCCTGGCAGGCACACCCAGCACCCTGCAGGACATGTGGTCCCACCGGATGAGTGGCGGCTGTGAGGGGCGCCCTCTGAAGCGGCGGGGTGGCGTGGTGGACTACCGGGATGTCATCTTGGCCCACCAGGCGCACAAAATCCACAGCACCCCCCAGGCCAGGAGGAAAGAATGGGAGTGAGTATATGCGGGGTGGAGGGGTCCCTTGGGGTCAGGCAAAGCTTGTTTCTGGCAAGTGTCGGGGGGAGGGGGCAGGCAGATTCATGCAGCTGCAACACACTGCCAAGGCTGGGCTGGCTGCCCAAATCTCAAAATCCTTCCTTGCTAGTTGATCAATACCTGCTGCCTTAAATCCTCCCCGATACCCCCAACCAGCTCTGGGAACCCCTGGGTCGCCCCACAATGCAGCCATAAAGGGGTTAACCGTGGGTGTGGCAGCAAGGACCCTGCTCCGGGCATTGTGAGTACCCACTTGGATGGATCAGCAAGTATTTCCAATGCAATGGCTGAGAAATGCCACTTTGCAGGGGGAAATGCAGAGACCCGCTTCTACTTCCAGCGCTGAGACTAAACCTGCAGGTTTGGGGGCCACAGGTGAAGGTTTGTGATAAAGGCAGAGGAGGGACTAGGTAGGGCTGGGAGAATGTGATAGCTCTGATCAAGTCTGGTCCTGGGGCCCCGTTTCTCTGCCAGTGAACCTGAAAGTGGGTCTTCTCCTGGGAACACTGGGGGTGGGGCTGGCTCTGCCATTTACCCGCTGCTGGGTGATCCTGGGTGAGTGGCCTCCCTGAGCTCAGGATCTTCACCCATGAGATCGCTCCTTCTAGGCTGCTTGAGGATTGAGGGCGGTTTGTGTGAAGGTTTATGTCCCGGACCAGCTTCTCTGCACCTGTTTTCCATGCAGTGGGGAAGCTGGTGCCTTTTTGCTTTTACTTTTTCTCAGGAGCTTTTCTGGCAAAAGCTCAGAACTGGGATGGATTCCTGGGCTATCAGGAGGGCGGGATGTGAATATGAACACCAGGGTGGTTAGAGCTGAGGTCGACAGGGACACTGATCAGTTTAGAGGACCCTGAAATCTGCTCCCCCACCCTCTCCACACTCCAGTCCTGACTGCGTAGAAAGGGAGCCACGTGGTCCCCGGCACCGAGCACAGCTCTCCAGCAGACGGCTCCTGTTTTTCTGCTTGCTGGAGGGGTAGCTGGGTTATAAAAGCCCGTCGGCTTGCGGGGGTGCTGATGAGGGGTGTGGAAGTACAGGCTGCAATGAAAACTGTATTATCAAAATGAGCCATCACTCATCTGGGGTCAAAGAGCTTTGGGACGGGGTAAGGTGGCACCAACCTAGCCTCTGAGGTGGTTTCCTGAGGTTAGGCTGACATCTGGTGGTGTGCTTGAGCATCGTTTAGGAAGACAATGCGGTGACCTTTATTTTTTTCCCACACCATTTCTCTTAACCTTCTCTCCCCTCCGTCCAGGCATCTATCCACTCACCCACTCACCTACCCACCCAATTATCTGTCCTTCTGTCTATGCAACCACCCATCCATCCACCCACTCATGCATCCTTCTAGCTATCCATCCATCCACCGACCCATCCATCCATCCTCCAATCCATCCTGTCTCCCATCCATTCATTCATCTATCCATTCACCAGTCCATCTTTCTGTCTATCCACTTACCCATCTCTCCATCCATCCATCCGTCCATCACTCCATAAATAACCAGGGTTCACCTACCACGTTTAGCTTCAGTGCTGAAACTGCTCCTCTATTCTCCCTTCTCCAGGACTCACCCACTTTCTTCTCTTTACCCCTCTCCTCTCTCTTCCCTCCTTAGTCTTTGCTTATTTCCATTCCCCCTTTGTTTCTTTTTGTTTTCTTTTTTTCTCTTTTTTTAAAAAAAGATGACCGGTGGGCCGGCCCGGTGGCGCACTGCACTAGTGCGCTGCTTGGGAAGCGCGGAGGCGCTCCCGCTTTTTTTAAAAAAAAGATGACCGGTGGGCCGGCACGGTGGCGCACTGCGCTAGTGCGCCGCTTGGGAAGTGCGGAGGCGCTCCCGCCGAGGGTTCNCACTCTCCCGAGTGAGCCACGGGCCGGCCCTTCTTTTTCTTTCTAAAATTGATTAGTTCTTTCAGAAAGAGTGAGCCTTCTTTAAAGGGTTATAGTGAGTTATTTCTGCAGACTTGCTGAAAAGAGTTTTTTTTAGGGAACGAAAAAGTGTCTGTGAATTAAAGAATTTTAAAACCCTGTTGCCCAAGGAAAATGATAAGCAAAATTTATAGTAATCATGACAGCTAACGCTGATTGGGTACCTATTGTGTCCCAGGCACTGTGTCTCATCTGAACTCTGCCATGCAGTGGATTCTGCACGGTCCCCGGTTTTGGGACGAAGGAAGGGAGGCTGAGGTCTTGCATGGTCTTGCAGCTAGAAAGCGGCAGAACTTGGATTTGAACCCAGTGCTGTCAGACTCCAAAACCCAAGCTCTATATCAATTGTTTGGCCAAAGAATTTCTACAACAGAAAGTAGCAGGGATTTGCTTAAAACAACTCAGAAAAAAAGAAGATAAATCATATAAGAGACAAAAAGGAAAGCATGGAAAGGTGTTGAGAATCAGCATACATTCCTACCATAACCTCCTCATATGGCCAACCTCTGCCTCAGTTTCCAATTCCTGTTACTTTCTAGGACCATAAAAAGACTTGAAATGTCTTTATAGACAGGATCTCCAAAATTCTGAACTCCTACCTCTACCAGCAAAACAATTTTCAGCACACTCACAACATATGCATTTTTATTTATGTATAAATTATTTAAGTATTCTGCTAAATTTATTATATGCTTGTAAAATATGCATAACAGTAAAATTATTATGAGGACAAGACATCCCAATGAAATATGTAATATTTTTTAATGGTTTTAACTTTTTAATTTAATGGTACAAAACATTTTTGCCCTCATGGTTTTAAAAGTTTGCCTTTACTTTTTGAATATTGTGTTCTGTGAAGGCTTTTCATTCTGAAATGTTCGAATACACTATAAGTAGAGGGAAGAGCACAGTGAACCCCGCATACCCGTTACCCAAATTTAACAATTGTCAGGATTTTTTCAGGCTTACGTCATACATTCATTTTTCTCTTTCTGAGTTATTTAAAAGCAAATCTCGGACCTTATGTGATCTTACAAACTTCAGATGACAACTTTAAAGCATATTTAAAGATTTTTTTTACTCATATCACACTGACAGCATTAATGATAATTTTTAATAATGTCATCTAATTTCCAGCTCGCACGCAGATTTCCTTGCTTGTCTTTTTACAGCTGATTTCTTTGGATCAGGAGAGTCTGTGTGTTGCATTTAGTCATCATTTCTCTGTTTCTTTTTTTTTTTTGGCAGCTGGCAGATACAGGGATTGTACCCTGGACCTTGGTGTAATTAGCACCACGCTCTAACCGTCTTAGCTAACCGGCCAGCCCTCCCCCTTTTTATTGTCGATACACATAACATAAAATATCTGTTATACATGACATTAATTTTACCTAGCATAAAAGTTACCTTTTAAACTTTTTTTTTTTTAATGATTATCTTTAATTCCATTGTCATCAGGTGGGCACACACCAGGGAACCTGGGACAAAGTCCAGGCTGGAGCCCTTAGTACTCTCAGGCTTACTGGTGCTAGGCTTCACCAACCTTTTGGGGGGATAGGGAGAACCAGAGACCACCACCATCACATGTAAAAAGGCTACTAAAGCGACCACATGGCTGCCAAAAATCAGCTAGAGCTTAGGTTACGCACCGTTTGACCAGCCTGTGCTTGCTTCCTTGTGAAGAGCTGGACACATGTGCAGAGACATCTAAAGCATGTGTAGATGACTCTTCTTTTGAAAGGCAGAGGGTGTCTTTGTAAACTCTTTCTACTCGCAGTTTTCCTATAATTTTCCCATTTAAACTACAAAAGATGCTGCAGTCTATCTCAGCTAGCTTCTAATTTGGACACAGCGCCAGTACTACACACACAATTGAATAACAGACCACGTCTTTCTGGTTTTTCCATTGGGCAGGCTCAGTGTGCTTCTTTGGACTAAATAAGTGTGATTTTTTTTTTAATTTTAATTTTTTTTCATTGTACATGTTTATGGGGTACAGTTTGTTGTTTCAATACATGCATGTGTTGTGTAATAATCTAAATAGTTAGCATATCTATCACCTAAACATTTATCATTTCTTTGTGGTTATCATATTCAAGATCCTCTTTTCTGGCCATCTTAAAATATATAATACTATATTATTAGCTGTTGTCACCCTAGAGCACCAGAACTTATTCTTCTTATCTAACCGTAACTTTGTAACTGTGTGCCACTCTTAAATAGGTGTGATCTTCCTTGAGAAAAGCATGGAAACAGAGAGCTAGACTTTGTTAGCCTCCATCCCAGAAAATTGGTGGCGCACTCCTTGGCTCTTGTATAATTCAGTGACTGGCCTTATCACGTCCTTGGAGCCTGGCAGCAACTGCTTCAGGTTTACGATCCTCCTGCTGGACTAATGGTTCACCAGTGATGTCACCAATCCCATGTTCACGAAGTGAACTGAAGTCCAGGTTGTATACCTTTCCTCTAGGAGGGTGAATCCAGTGTCAGCTGAGATGGCCTTTAAGTGTTTCAGGTGGAATGTTCAAATTGATCATTAGATCCAGGTCACAGATTTTGTTCAGGGATTCAGTCTTTCCACACGTCCTAGGAAAACCATCCAGCAGCCAGTCCCGGTTGTGCCTGTTCTCCAGTTGCAACATCATTAGGTGTGTGGTCATGAGATCTGAACCAAAAGACCTTTCTCTATGTACTGCTTTGCCATCTCACCAACCTCTATGTTGGCCTTGATGCTCTCCTGCAAAAAGCGGAGAAATGCTGGAGGCCAAATTTCTGGGTGACCCTCTGGCGCACAGTGCCCTTGCTGAGGATGACCGTACGCAGGAGTTTGGAAGCCATTGCCTTCGCGAGCAGGGGACAGGGGAGGACCACACAGGCAACCCAGACAGCGGCCCTGGACGGAACCCCAGGAAGTTTGTTTCTTGACCCCTGCCTCTGGCACCTTCCGCTCGTGTGGGGCCTAAACGGTTTTAAGTGTATAGTTCAGTTGCATTAAGTACATTCATGATGTTGTGCAACTGTCACCACCATC